GGCACTGCAGCTAATCTGGCTCAATTGCTTTTAAAACAAACCCAGAATCTTGAGTTTCTGCAAGTCACCAACTCATTACAGAAAGTATTTCCTGGTTTCCAAAATGAACAAGCTGTACAAGTAACAGAAGGTACACACACAATGACACATGAAATAGAGGGCAGTACAGCCTAGAGATGCACAAGCTCCTCTCTGCCTTCCTCTGCTACCTACCCTGCCTCATACCAGCACCTGCATCCCCTTCTTGCTAAACACCATCCTCCCCTTTCAAAAACCAGAGCTAGGCCTCTGGGAAATAAAAGGCTAAATTACAACACTTCATTCAACCCCAGTCTTCAACTTATAACTCCACAGGGATGGATTCAGTAGGGCTCTGGATAGCAAGCATACAGTTTTTCTTCCAAGTGGTCTGGAACACCTTTGTCCTGTGGAGGAGAGAGCTGTAGGGTTCAAGTCCACCACTGAACAAAAGAGAAGAAAGGACTCCCCAGACAGAGCAATACAGAGGAAAGGGGGCTCATGTTGAGGGGAGCTGGAGATGCACTGTAGATCAGCTACAGAAGCACAAGTCTGGGTAAACTAACATTCCAAAGTCCAACTTCATTTGAGTGCTTTTGGTTCACCAACTATATTATGCACAACCTCCCTTTCTCTAATTACACAAGACCACTAGGCACATTACACTTGCCTAGCATTTACCCGAAGTAATTTTAAACCACATCACGGTTCACATTCTGAAATGAGAACAGGTGTCATGGAGCTGCTCCGAGTGAAAAAAACTGATCTGGCAAAACCCCAAAACTCCCAACCAATGCACAAGGCAGAAAGGTGGTTAGAAGCTGGTGAAAACAAACAAATAGCTGTAAATCCATGCCTTCTCAACAACACACTGGCCTCTTCATGTGTGAAGAAAGACCTTCAATCATCTCTCTATCACATAAACACACCTGCAGCTTGCTGTAACTGAAGAGACCGAGTCTCAGACAGCCTGTTCACGTTTAGAGTTTGGAACGCTGCATCTGTATTTAGCCTCTCCTCGAATCTGTCTGCTGGGAAAATCTTTAATCAAACACAAGATGTTTCAGAGGTAATCTCATTCCACAAAGCTGTCTGCAAACAAACCAACAACCCTGTGCAATAGCTGCCACCTACTGCTCGGGAAAGTAACTGCACTTAATAAAGGAAAAGGCAAGTTTCAGTAGCTCAAGCAACAATTTCCGTTTAAAATTTCCCTCTATGCCCTCACAAACAATGCACTCAATCTTTTAACACAGTAGAAAAAAATTAATTCCAACAAGGAAATATTTCCAGTACTTCATATTTATCTGGTGCTTTATAGTTTCACGTTACTACAGAAAAGAACCCCTTCAAAACTACCATTTATGCAGAAAAAGAAGGGAGAAAAACCACTAGGGTGCTGACCAGATTATGAAATCCCAGTCTCACAGTGAACTATCACAACAGAGGCAGGTCAGAGGCTTTCTGAAACATACTGTCAACATAATTCAAAAGATTTTGTAGCTTAATCTGACCATTCATAATATCATCTATTAATCTTCTTAATCTGCATGAAGTCAAATATTCTTCTGTTTAGAAAACATCACTGCAAGTTTAGTCCAAGATGGAGGAGTGAGCCTGCCAGCCCCTTGCCCTATACAGACTAGAACAGTGCTTATATGAGGCAGCAGGACAAAGTCTTTTCCATCAGTGATCAGCTGGGCTGACTGGGCATCGCTAGAAGTAACATGAAAGCTATTTCCATCTATACAGATTTTACCTATGCCACAGCCATAAGAAAGGCAAGATACTCTGGGAGTTTATATAAATGAACTGCACATAGTATACTATTTACAAACCTCCTTCTTCGACACACATGATCTGATTATTTTCTACTACAAAGATCATTAGCAGGATGACAGGGAGAGGCTATCAGGTTGCAAATCCAGAAGCCCTTTCTTTCCCCAGCTAAAAAGAGATCCCTAGTAAATCTCTACATTAACTTCTGCAAAGTCGATCTCACAGATACCATGATTCAAAACAGCACTCCTGTTCAACTTCTTTTTCTTTCATTAAGGCATTTTGTTTCTTCCACATGTTAAATAGGAAACAGAGCATAAGGGACATGTTAAATAGGAAACAGAGCACAAGGAAAGCAAAGACATCATGTGAATACACCCATTGTTACTTACTTCTCCTGTGATTGGATTGGTTCCGTACTTCTTTATCCAAGGAACAATGCTCCTGAAAAGAGAAGGGATAAAATACCAAGTGACAAGCACAAGCAGAAAACACTGTTGATAGGCATGATTACTTTTGCCAACTTGCTAAAACCAAATGACGACCGCATAGCTGTAACCACCTCAGCAACACAAAAATAAAGCTAAGTACAGACAGTAACTTACAGTATGTCAAAGACTGTCCCATCTGGTGTGCAAACAGGGTATTCAAATGGCTGAAGAGACAAACTAGGAAAGAAAAGTACACATTCTTTTTAGCAAAACCAGCTGGACACCATGACAGAAGCAAACTACATTTTGCTGATTCACTTGCACATTTAAGTAAGGCCTACCCTAATAAAAATACTGAGTGACTGCCAATACCCAGTACCTGATTCTACATAAATCATGTTAACAACAAACCCATGAAGGGAACTGGTGCAGTTTAGTAATGTGGAGCAGCCAGCACTCACAGCCATAGAGCCACGGGACGCTGCAATACTCCCCAGCTGACACGTTGGGCCCCACCAGCAAAAAAAGATGGCTCAAGCAGAAACACTTGCTGTCTTTGCACTGAAAAGGACCAGGGAGTAACTAGCATTCATATTCAGCACTCTCTGTTAAGGATGCTTCCATAAAGCAGCCAGCTTTTACCCAAGCAGCAGTAGTTTGCAGATGAACTATTCAATTTACAAGAGGATTTCCAACCCACCTCTACTAACTTCCCTCTTTCACTCCAGCACTTAAAGCAGTAAACTCTAAACACAACAAATTAACATAAATATTGCTTCAATCTACCTAATCACTGCTTCAGAAAGACAAGCGACTAACAGAGCATATTCTGAGAAATGAGAGGGAGACTCAAGCTACAGTTACACGAATTTGAAAGACTGAAATGTACCTAATAATTGTTCTGAATTATTTTATCACTCCCGTATTCTTTAGCCATCAGCTCCAATCTCTGCAGACACCAATCATGGAAAGTACAGACACTGGTTTAGCTCTTACCAAATTTTTTCTTGCTGTATTACTATCATAGCAAGCACAAGCCAATGAAAGTAACTACCTCAGAAGAACACGTCTTCAGTGATAGTTCAATGTCACCAGCCTGATAAATACAAGTATCATTTAATAATGGTAATGTATATTTGTTGTCTTACCTGCAGTGATCAAATGACAAACGCCTAAAATTAGTTCGTGGAAGGTCTGTTGATGAGAAAAAAACACAAAAACAAAACAACACAACAGAATTGTAATAAATATATAGTAAATGCTCCATCCCTGGCAGCGTTCAAGGCCAGGCTGGACAGAGCTTTGGGCAACATGGTCTTGTGTGAAGTGTCCCTGCCCATGGCAAGGGGTTGGAACTGGATGATCTTAAGGTCCTTTCCAACCCAAACCATTCTCTGATACTATGATTCTAAAGTAAAAAATAAACACTTGAAATTTACATTTTGCTACATGTATGGTAGCAATTCGCTGATAACAAGGACAGATACACTAAATTTACATTATTAATACTACTTGGACAGAGCTTTGAGCAACCTGGTCTAGTGGAAGGTGTCCCTGCCTGTGGAAGGGGGTTGGAACTGGGTGTGCTTTAAGGCTCCTTCCAACCCAAACCATTCTATGATTCTATAAACCTTACAAAACTGTAACTAAAACCAGATTTCTCCTGCAGAGCGAAAGGCCACTTCTCAAGTAAAGTTACACAAATAACAACACATCAGAGCAGAGCTCTGTCAGACTGGCAGCACCCGGCTTGTGTTTGATAGTTAACACTCAAGCAGCGGGCACAGAACTCGGTGAAGGCCGGGACAGCTCATCCGGGCGATAACGCGAATTGCTGCCGGTTTTCCCGCTGACGAGCACCACAAAATCAGGTGCCCGACGGCGCAAAGGCCGGGACGGGGCAGCCCCGCCGCACCCCGGGACGCTGCGCTCTGCTCGAGGAGGTCACCTCAGCCCCCACACCTCCCTCTCGCCTTTACCTGCTTTCTTCCCGCCGTAGAACTGCGTGTACTCCGCGCATGTGATGTACCTGCCGAGACAGCGCGGTCAGTCACGGGCACCCGCACCACGCCGGAGGCCCCAGGACTTCCCCCCGCCCTGCCGAGGCCATCCCCACTCACATCTTATCCTTCTGGTGCTGCCGCTTCCCCATGGCGGCGGCTCAGCGCGGGGGCCCTGCGGACACAACTGCCCACTCCCCACAGAGACCCCTCTGCGCCCGGACGGCTGCGGCTGCTGCGCCCTTCCGGTGCCGGTGCGGCGGCGAAAGGCCGCGCCGCGGAAACACGGGCGGTGAGCGACGTTCCGGGCCGGGCCGGCCAGAAGGGGCGGGAAGCGCGGGAGCGCTGAGGGAGCGGGGCCCCAGGCAGGAGGCTGCAGCTCCCCGTAAACGCGTGTGCGGCCGTTCGCCGGCCTGAAGGAGAGCCGGTGCCTCAGGACAGGCAGTGCCGGTTGGGTTCCCCCTCACCGGTGCCAGGGAGGGACGCCGGGAAAGCCCTGTGGGAGTTTTAGCGAGTGAGTAGTAGTGAGAGTGGCTGATCCCCCCGTGGCCTTCCCCATTTCCCCATCCACAACATTAATAAATAAAATAAACCTGCCCCTACTCCCACACTGAAAGTGCTCCTCGTTGATTTTGCTGCAGGCTTCCTTTGGTAATGTAATAGAGTGTTTACAGAGCTCATCTGAAAAAAAGCAGGTGCTGAATGTAAGCAGAAAATGCTAAAATACCCAATTTAAGAAAATTGTGCAACAATTTAAATGTTTTTTTATTCCTGGCCTGTCAGGCAGTGACAGAGCCTCTCAAGAGAAAACAGGCAGAAAAACTTGGAGACAGGCCTTCATAAAGTATTCCAGCACCTCTTGGAAGACTTAGTGACAAGGAACGTTCTTTCCCTTAGCTAATCACCTTTAAATCCTATTGCAAAGCATTCATTACAAGACTGGCATGAACAGCACAAGGCTGAATAAAGGATAGACAGAATCTGAATATCTTGCCTTTTGCAAGGAGGAAACAGGCACCTGGCTCCTAGCTTTCACTTATCAAACACCTCTGAAACAATCCATGTTCATTTATTCTTTCCTCATTAAAGCATCTGCTGGGAGCTGCCTGCACATTGTCAACCATCGAGAGTCAAAATCCATGGAAGCCAATAGCCAGGCTCCTGCCAACAGTACCAAGCTTTGGACCAGACCCACCCTTTCCCCAGAATGCGGTATGTATCTTGTTTTGATCACTTCAGTGGGTTCCATTCCATATGAGGAACACAATGCCTACTGCCATGATTGTAGCCTACTTGGCAACAGCATATGAATCACAGCACTACCACCACTGCTTGTCACAGTACTATCAAGACTTTTCAGACTAGAAGTCCCGAGCCGGCACACACAGAATCAAGCTGTGCTACATCTCCCACTGCTTGTTGAAAAGTCACTGATGCCATACTGAAGAACAGCTGCTAAGTCAGTTGTTTTTATTGCTCTTCAAGACACTTCAGTTGATGTGTACATCACATTGCTGTACAAAGTAGTCAGGTGGCCATAGGTCTGGCAGTTGAATACAGAGGCAACAAAACCCTCCAACTGTGGGGGTTTGTTGCCTTAAAGAGCACATCCCTCCCGCTAGGATGCAGACAACCATGTAACTGCAGAACTGCCTCTCTGAGCTCAGTCCCCTTCAGCTAAAGACCACAGCAGCACAGCTAGTCCTTGTCCTGGCTGAGGGTGAGGGATAGTGTGTTTCTGCTACAAGTTTGGGGGAGAAATTGCCCTTTCACAAGGGTTTAAATACACTTACTCATTTCTGTACTCATTTTCTTACTCAAAACCATCTCAAAGTAAGGCAATAAATTGAGGCGTACCTGAATAGTTAGGTCTTAGAAAGAACCAACATATACACTCGCTTCTTTCCCAGCACCATGTGTACTTTGGGAAAGAAAACAAGTTAATTAATTTGGTTTCAGTGGAATTCCAAAACCACCCCACAAGTGAACTGCTGGCAGGCCACAGGTACTGTTGTGCTGTCACAAAATGCCACACAAGGAACATGGTCGTAACTGCACAAAGTTCACTTCTTGTTGCTGCACTGACCACTTTGGCAGTGGTCAGGGAAGCCCATTTTGCTTTGTGTTGCCTGAGATAATGAGCACTCCCACACAGCTCCTGTTCTTCCAGCTGAGATGTGGCTCCAAGAGAAAATGTAGCTGTCCAGGGAGATCACAAGTACTTGTCTGATCACGCTCCCAGAGGAAAGATCACCCAGACAGTATTATTTATTTCTAGACACATTAACATGATTCAGCCTGCGTTGACATTTCTGGAGATGCTTGTGCCCTTTGTAATAATTCAAGACTTACATTTGTTCTGTTTGTTTTTTAAACCAATGCAATGTTCATTTATTTCTGTACTTACAAAAAGAGTCACCCCACTGTATCCCTTTCCCTCCCCCCTAAAATGCCTTTTACAAACATTTAAAAATTAAAAACCAGATGATGACATGTTAATTTGGTAGAATTATTTTGAAACATAGCTTTTGTAATTAGAGTTAGATTTCCTACAAGATGACTTTGTAGAGACAGCCTGATTATCGGCCAAATAAAATTCCATATTACAAGTTAGCAAATTCTAGTACAAAAATAGTCCATGTGTTAGAACAGCCTCTTATTATTATTATTATATTCACAGGAAAGAGTCTATCGGCTGCATAATACCTTAATATTTATGAAATTTCTTTTTACGTGGCTCATTCATCTAATTTAATATAGTGTTGAGCCTCAATAAATCCTCAGGCAAAAAACCCTAAACAGGGTTAAATATGCTGTTCAGTGTACTCTGAAGTACTGTGCTTTTCACAGGACATCCAAGAAACCCCACAAACAGTTCTCAGATAGTTTTGATATTAAAATGAGAACCAGATCCAAAAGGACCCCCCCTGAAGTACACATCCACGACTTTCCATAGAAACAGAGGCCACAGCTTCGATGGTTTTACTTGGGAAATGGTCTAGCTCATCCACTCATTTTCACAAATCCACTTGTGAGCTTCTTTAAAAACTAAAGCAGGTCACTCCTGGGACCCTTACGGCACTGCCCTCTTCAGGAGTGTCCCTGCTGACCGGGCTCTTGCTCCTCTTCTGTCTCTGGTTAATGCTGTTCAGCAGTTTCTCGTGGACCAGGCCCCGCAGGGAAAATCTGGGTAAATGCTATTTGTCTCTCAAGATGTCTAGCTGCTCTTGATATTCTGTGAAAAGCCTCTGGAAGCGGAGGTTCTGTCCAATTACAGGAAGAAGCTCTTTCAATAGTTCTCTCTTTCGTAAACCCTGCACAAAAACCACAAAAGCATCCTCAGAATGTATTACTTGATAACATGAACATATTGCATAGAGCTGTTTAAGATTTGTGCCCTTTTTCCTGCCTGGAGAGAGGTCTGTATTTTATGTTCTTACCCTGCTTACATGAATCCTAAAATAAAAACTGTCCTTACATTTATACACTCATGAAGCTGGTGCAGCCTCTGAAGTTGCAGACTTCCCTACTGAGAAGGGAAGACATTTCACTGTCCTGTCACTATTTCAAAGTTGCTGTGTGAAGAATGCAAAGACCTGAACATGCAACTCTGCTCCATCTGCCTGAAACTCAAGACAGCATCAGATCTGAAACTGTGGCAATAAACATTTGTCTATGGTTTCACATGAAATAAATACAAGCGCAGTGCAAGGAGCCCTGCATATGAGATGAGAGCAGAGTAAGGAAATGGTTTCAAGGACAGCAAAAATAATGTGATTCCTACTTTGCCACTAAGTTTAATAATATATTTTCAGTTCTGTTGTCTATCCATGTCCTGTAATTTTCATGGGAAACTCTTCCTCATTGTTTTGTTTAACTGTTATCAGGACTTACCATAACTGTTGATTCCCACTGACTTCCAGCTGAGTAATGGACTGGACCCAGTAAATCCTTGCATAATTCTCGCAAACGATATTCAAACCCTGAATATTATCAGAAATAAGATCACATTCAGAAGCATTTCACTATATACAACCCCTCTACAATGCAATTGACAACATTCAGGAAGTTTAAGTATCTAGAATAAAATAAAGTCAAAAACATTGATTTCTGAAAGAATGTATTGTTCTTCTAACAGCAAATCTTTGGAAAGATAAGATGATTCATAAAGGATTTATTTTAGAATTCCAAAGGGCTTTATTTTAGGTTCTCAAAAACAAAACCACTACTAAAGATAATCTACAATACAGAGAAAAACTGAAGTAGGTCTCAACCTCACTCCCTCCTCCAGCTTTTAAAAGAGCAAAACAAAGAACGTTAGAAAACCTCAACAGCCAGAGAACTAATACAAAAGAGGTATCACATGAGCTGGAAAGCCACAAGATGAAAACTAGTGAAGGGGGAAAGTTGTTAGGTTGCATTTCATGGTAATACATGAATTTGGAAAAATGGAGTCCATAGTGAAGAAAATAAAAAGTCCTTCTGATACATTAAAATATTACTAAACTAGAAGAGAAATCTCAACCTTTAGCAAAAGAGCTTACAACTAAAATAAAATGCACTAAATTAATATGGATGAGTTAAAAAAAGAGGTAAAGAGAAAACCTTTAATAAAACCACACACAGTTTCCAGGCCAGCTCTATTCACCCAAAAATCAGAGGGGAGAATTCCCTTGCAAGTAACTAAGTCATCAGTTCAGGAGTAACTTGCCCATCAAAGTATAACAGATTGAATATTTTAAGGGATTAGAACTCACTAAATGTTGAAATCATCAGAGGAATAAAGGGTCAATAATAGGATATGCAATTTTCAAATTTAGCAGACCTAGGATAGCAATACATGTGTGGCAAAGCAGAATGTGCAGTGACATCCAATGTATACACGCATGCAAGGCTGTGACATCAGTGCAGTGCAAGATGAACCCTGCACACACAATAGAGATTCCTAATTAGTGAAGACTTTAAAAAGTGTAACCGTCTCTTCAGTATATGTATGACCCAAGAAGAACATTTTAATTTCAACCAGAGAATCACATGCAGTTTATCAAGCTCTTTTGTTAAATAAGGGGTGAAAAGGCAAGAATCAATGACTTGAATTTTAATTCTACCAACACCTATTAGGTGGCCGAACATGAACCACTTAGCTCCCCTCTATGTAAAATGATTACTCATGATGAGGAATAAGGCTGTATTAATCCAATGGGAACTACAAAATATGGAATGCTGGCAAGTGGAGACAGAGATCTTTAGAATCCAAGAAGCATAAAGTCAGTTGGTTAACCTTATTTAATATAATAGCATAGAGATATAATGTATTCAAATATAAAACAGACACAAGTACTTTTCTTGCAGGTTTCTCTCCTCACAGAATTTAACCTGTGGAGCTCACCAGTACAGGCTGTTCAAATTTTAGAATGTAAGAAACCAGTATAAAGTGCAAGTAACACAAGCAAATTCTCCACAGTTTCACGTGCTCTGGTACAAAGTGTCAGCAACCAAGCAACTCTTCCATTTCACATCAGGCAGCGATCATCAGTTGCCTGAGGAACGTTACATGTGGGTATGTGCTGGTTCCTCCAAAACATCCGTAGTTGCTGCCAGATAATACATATGATGTCTGACAGGCACCTGGACTTTTCTTACAATGCAGTTCCCACTGCTGAAGTCCACAGATGGCACTGTCTCCCCAGACCATGATCTGTTCACATTGTGTCAAAATAGGATTCCTGAGTATTGAGCACTGCAGGAAGCAAATGCACTTCAGCAGCTTGTTTTGGTTTTAAGTAAACACTGAGTCCAGAAGCCAAGTGCTGAAAGGAGAACATTAAGTGCAATCATACATATACATGACATGAATAAAGCGTTCCTTAAGTCTACCAAAGCTGCAAAGAAGTAACACAGCATGGCAGACCTCACCTTCATTAACTAGGTACCGTGCATAGATAAGGAGCCAGTGGCGATATTCGTGACTGGATTGTAAGATAAGTGCTGCTGCGATCTGGTTCTCCAGGTATGCAAGTGTTGTTTCTTGTTGCACTAAATGAGGCATGGAGAACAATCTTGCAGCTTGCCTTCCTGAACTACAAAACAAAAAAATTAGCATGCCAGCCATAAAATCAGATACTATTAAATTCACTTAAATTAAATACTTAAATTCAGTTTAAGGAATAGATATTTTGCACAAGCTATTCCACGCTTATCTTTCAGAGGCA